ACCACATATTTATGGAAAAACATTGGATTTCTAAAAGCAAACATTCAAATGAGTTGGGTCTTGGCAGAAGACTACTTTTGTACTAGTAGGAAATATAGGATTTTCTAGGAGTTTTCAAACATATACAAACAATTCATTCAGATTTATACAAACATTTACATTAAATACTTATGAACTCACCAGCTTAAATGCTGATCTACTCTTTCAAATCTACTTGTATTTCTCAGGGATTCAGTAATACAGGTAACTTCAGCTTTTGGAGAAGTGACGCTAAGGCGTCAGTTTAAAACTCATTTTATCATCATATTGTAATTTGTTTAGAAACAAGTATTATTCAACGATGTAACTTTTAAATTATATATATGATGGTTGGTTTACTTTCTTTACTATGTATTCAACTGTTACGATACTACATGAAGTCATCCGCCCTCGAACGATTCCGCCGTTCTGGTTTGGGGGTGTGACACAATCACCTAGCACGGTCATGCTAGCCAGTATATATGTGTTCTTCAAAGACGACACATTAAGTTCACTTTTCAAATTTTGGACTTGTTGCTCCAACATAGAAATCTTATCAATATAACCAATCTTCTCTAACTCTAAGGACACAACTTTACTCTGCAATAAAGAAAGCTCCTCCTCTAACTGTTGGCGGTCAGCCAACTTGCTTTCCAACATAGATTTTTCCTCTTGAAGGGACACCAACTCACATTGGGCATCATTAAGTTCCGCCTCTAGACAGAACCAATCTTCTCCGATTCAAAAACTTTATTCAAAAGGCTCACATAATGATCACATGATGTTTGAACATTACGAGACAACCCTGTTGATGGGATAACAAAGGGCTTCACAAGCTCATATATTTTCTTAAATTCATCTCAAAGATCTCAATTCTCTTGATGCAACTCCCGATTCTCCTCTAACCAAGACATCAGTTCATGACCAAGCACCATATTTTCCACAAGTTTCATTTTGAAAAAATTTCGAATGTGTTCCTTATTCCTGCTCCCCAAACCTAGCTTAGTACCCGGAGAAGAAAAATTATGAAAGAAATACATGGCCGCCTTTGGGTCCAACAAAGATTGGTCCGGTCAATACTCCCTCTGGGGAACATAAATGGGCCCAGAAGGATGTGGAGCATCTCTATCTCGAAGGAGAATGGTCTGATGTAGCTGCTCGACGTAGGAAAGTGGCTGACTGGCACCCAAACTATCAATAATGATTGTAAATCACCAGGATCTAGAGAGTGGGTTCTTTTCACAACCCCACCTCTACTACTTCCTTCACCACTAGATAATGTTGCCGTAAAGGCGACTAAGGCAACTGATACCCTATCTCTTTTTCGGCGAACTAGGCCTTCTTCAACATTATCGCCTCCATTATCCTTATCATCATCATTCACCACAACATGAGAAACATAAACATTAGGAGTCCGCTTGTGAGCAACATCATTAGTATCATACAAATCATAAACTCGTATGGAAGACTCAAACTCGTCTTCGTTCTCATCCTCATCGTCAGTGTTGCTACCTTTATCTTCATCGTCATCATTCAAGCTATCATCAATCAAATACATTTCAAAATCATCAGAGTCCAAGCCCGTGCATAGATCCTACCTTTAATAAAATCTAACAACAAGAACGACATTCAGCTCCCATCTAGGACATTATCAATACAATCAGACAAACGATAAGCATATATATATATATATATATATATATATATATATATATATCTTATATCTTATACTATATTATAAAGCATATTAGTTATATTTTGAATTTTAAGAGATATAACTTAGAAAGTTTTTTGTACAAATCAATTATGCATAAACAATTCATTAATACTTTGCAAAAGTTTGAAGACTTGAATTAAGAAAAGTAATTATGAAATTCAATTTGGAGCAAAATGAAAATTTAAAAATATTAAATTCATGTATATAAATTAACTTATATTTTTTAAACTAAACACCAATAATAATTAATTTACATCAATAGTATAAACAAACAATATAAACGTAAATATTTTATTTAAAAGTCGTAACTTTTTATTACATAATAACTAATAATAAAATTTAATAATTATTTCCCGTAAGAAACTATTCACAAAAAAAACTATTTATCATCGTCGCTTTGCACGGGCACACATCTAGTGTGTGTGTGTGTATGTGTGTGTGTGTATGTGTGTGTGTGTATATATATATATACAGAGAGGGAGAGATAGAGAGACAGAGAGCAAGCAAAACAACGAAAACAGAAAAAAGAAAATGAATACCTGGCCCTCGAACATATAGTAAAAGAGTTGCACCCATATATATCCATTGAGGGATCATACCAACTTACCCTAATACAGCCTCTAGAAATTTCTTCATCGACACGTTCAAGTGGGAAATCTTGTCTATACCTTGTGCTAAATCTGAAGTCCTATTTGATTTCTGATCATTAATGGTGTCAGGCAAGTGGAATACATTGCGATATGAGACACGAGACAAATTCAACAAAATAAATTCTTTTTCCCACCGTTTTATTGACTCTGTATGACCCTCAATAAAAATTTGTCCCCTAGAACGGAAATAAAACCAAGCGCCACTACTACATATGCGGGAGAAATATTGGAACAAATCAACGGTGGGAACAACCAAGGAGGCGTGGCATAGCAACTCAAAGCAAACAATCTTGGAGATCGAATTAGGTTTCAATTGGCAATTATAGATCTTATAAGCCTCAATAATCTGACCAAATAAATGGGAAGGAGGAACACGTTAACCGAATTTGAAGTAATATAGATAGAAACCAATCTTACAAGACGGAGGACGGTCATTGATCGCAGTCGTACCAGGAATGACGACGCCATCTTCTTCAATGAGATGATATATTCATGGCAATCTGGTCCAGACGTTCGTGAGTAACGGTTAATGTGAGAGAATGTATTATAGGGCGAAACATTGCGATTTCTGCTTCGAAGAAAATCAAGTGAGAAAGAACATAAATGCTAATTGAAAATATAGTGGGGGAATACCATCCGATGTGATAAAGATTTATAAGGAACAGACAATAGGAAAAACAACTACAGACAAATAATTAGGTTGGGGGCTTAATGTTGTGTGGGGTTCAACCCACACACAAAGGTGGGCCGACAAGACAAGGATCAAGCCGGACAACATCAACGAGGCCCAAATACATACACATGCCGACAGTCAACAACAGTAAAGACCAACCGATCATGCCGAACAAAAAAAACTATAACAAGGGAATCTTCCATACGAATCCCTAGGCAACATCCTGTGAAAGATGGAAAAGGAAATATTATTATATTGAAGGGTTCTACCTTTGCAACCATTGGACATAAGGAACACCTAGTTAGAAAGGCAATGAACCGGACTGACTAGCCTGTATAAAAGGGAACTAAGCACACATCAAACAAGTAAGATATCCTTTCCAAAGACAATCAATTTTTCTCATAAGCCTTAAATCGACATTTAACTTAGGCATCAGAGAGCAATATCGGGGTCCATCCCTCGGTATAGCTTTCTAACCTGATATTTGTCTCTCTTTTTCAACGTGTACTCTAGAGTGCTCATTAGAGACGATTATCACTAACCAACTACAACGTACATGGTGATACCACGTAGCAACAAGGGTTAAACCTCATATGAATAGAGATACAAAAATGGCATAACCTAAACCCTAAGCAACGTGGGGCCTAAACCCTAATTACTAACAATTTCAAGATGAACTCAAGCATTACTTTGATGTTTCCCGATGACCAACAACACGACCCACTAATGTGTCCGGAGACCAACATGATTTCCCTCTTGAGCAAACAAGTCGAGAACATAATTATCTCGATGAGAGATTTCATTTCAACAAGTTTTTCACGATCAAACCAGTAATATACAAGCGATTTCTACATATATACAAGTCGTAACATGCTCTACGTTTAAGCCATCTATGCATATCGTACAAACATTGACAAACACATGGTTCATGAGCTAACATGTAAAAAGGAAAGCCTTTGCATCTTGCCAAACACATGGTTCAAGAGCTAACATGTAAAAAGGAAAGCCTTTGCATATTGATAACCGACTATTGTCAATATCAATAGGTTGTTTGGTAGCAAGCGATGAAAGATATGGCTTCTGGTTGTTTGTTGTGCCCGATAATATTAAGAGTTTCAGCGAATCCATACTAGCTAACTTTACATAGAAGGACTACTTATTAGATTCCAAAATCTCCTATAACCATATTTTCCCCATCCTTGATGATTAAATGGATAGTTTAGCTAACTGATGTGTCACCCTCTTACCATTCTTATGAGTATATGCATTTAATTAGAAACTTAAAAAGAATAAATTATAGCTTGAATATCATCCACATTGTGTCCAATGCTAGGTTCGGGTCTTGTTGGAGCACAACTCCCAGAGGTTTTTAACAAGAGAGAGAGATGTGAGGGTGGATGATTTTTTAAACTTTTTATTATTAAAATATATAAATAACTAAAAAGAAAAGAAAAAATATATTAAAATTGGTAAAATGGTCTTTTCATATGGGCTAAGGACCATCGGTGCAACAAATGCAAAACATAATGATCAGTCATGTCAAAAAACCAATATTAGGGCCAAATGTGTGAATTTTGGCAAACCACATGGACTAAATGTGTAATTCACTCCAAAATTTATTAGTAAAGATTGCAATGATGTAGCATTGTGTGAATAATAATGACATTTAAACCATTTCAACACGTCATTAGAGAGGGGCATATATTTCATTCAGAATCAAGGGCATTTTAGTCATTAAAAAATACAGTCAAAATTCTTTTTACTAGATATTTCAGCCCTTAGAAATGGAGAAAATCCTGAAAGTTTGTTATTTCAAGATTCTTACATAATAATTAGAACACATAAGAAAATGTCAATGATAAAAAAGAAAATAAAAAAAATCCCTAATTTATCAATATAAATATGGGTTTGAATTCATCTTTTAAAGGGCATGTATAATCATAAAAAACATTCTGAATCGCCAAGTGGTTTTATGAGGGTTTTTTTTTCTGCTGATTTTTCACTCTCTCTCTCACTATATATATGTGTATTCTAGAGAGAGAAAGTAATGAAGAGAGATGAGTGAGAGTCTGTTCCTCTCTCCAGCTTTTATGGCGTGAGACACTACCAGTAAGCCTTTGTGTACACTACCATCACCTATACATACAGTATGTGTATAAAATCCTTCATCTTTGCATGCTTCACCAAACTCATTCCCAAAGATCAAAATTTCCCAAAAACCAAAATGAAATATGATGATCATGATTGTATCATCACCTAATAAAACCCACATCTACAATCGGATTCCTTGATTGTTTCAAGCCAAACCCAGATGAAAGAAGGGGTTAATTTGTTATGGGTTTTCCGTTTCCAGTGTTTCTTGATCATTTTCTTGATGTGGGTGCTTTAAATTTCTAGTTTTTATAGCCTTTTTTTGTTGTTTTCAAGATTTCTTGATTTCCCTGTTTTTGTTGTTGTACACTTAGTGTTTATTGATGATGGTTGAGAGAGTTGGGATTATTGAGAACATGGAGGATCAAGAACTTGAAATGTTGTTGGGTGAGATCCCTCATGCAACATCATCACTTTCCCTTCACCATCATCCATCATACGCCAATGGCCATCATCATCATCACCATCATCATCATGTTGTCAATGGTAATCCTCGCGGTAACCCCTCTTTTGTCGCTCCAACAATGAATAGGATGATGTATGGTATGTATAATGATGATGATGATTCATCATCTAGTTACAACCAGAATACATATACCCCCCCTGCTACTGCCTTTCCAAGCATGTTCTACAATGCCCATTCCCATTCATCATCTGATACATCACCATCACCTTCATCATCATCAACTATTCCTGCATTACATGATCCCATCCCCAATCCCCACATCATCTCAAGAAATCCTGATGAAAATTTAATTGATGAACTTGGTAGACTGTATATCAATCAGGATCGCATCAATTCCACTAAATTTGGGGCTTCTGATGACTATCTTGCAATTAACCCTCATTTTCCAAGAACCCCCATAACTCCTGATACTGAAATCCATCCAGCATTCTTCGGTTTTCAGCAAAATTATGGGGTAGTTCCCTCTACCCAATCTTCAAATTTCGACAGGAGTGTGACAAATTATTGTTATCAATGGGGAATTCCAGCTCAAATCGGGAAGACCGGTCCAAAAGCTAAGGGTAACACTAACCATAGCGCCCATCGGTTCCACCACATGGCAGCCGGTGGTTCACCGAATATTAGAATCACCCGTGGTGGGCCCGGTTTATCAGCTAGTGACGATAGTTTGATCATTCAAGGTGAAGATTTAAGTCGTGTTAGAAGCAAAAGGTTTGAAAGCCCTTGTGAAAATAGCCGAACTAAGGTTTATTTATCGTGTTCTTCTCATTTGACCGAAGCTCAAAGACACATTTTTATGATGGCTAAAGACCAACATGGGTGTCGTCTTCTCCAAAAGATTTTCGATGATGGAAACTCACAACATGTGCAGATTGTATTTAATGAGATTATCGGACATGTAATCGAGCTTATGATCAACCCTTTTGGGAATTACCTTATGCAGAAGCTTCTGGAAGTGTGCAATGAAGAACAACGAATGCAAATTTTGATGGCAATCACTCGTGAACCAAGGGAACTTGTTCAAATTTCATTGAACACTCATGGGTAATCTTAATAAAATCCGTTTTCTTCGATTTAATGTTGTGTTCTAACTTCTATCCTTCAAAGAATCTAAAATTTTCATTTTCTTTTTATAGAACTCGAGTTGTACAGAAACTTATCGAGACTCTCAAGACAAGGCAACAAATCAAGCTTGTGGTTTCTGCTCTTGAACCAGGGTTTCTTGCTCTTATAAAGGATCTTAATGGTAATCATGTCATTCAGCGTTGCTTACAGTGCCTCAGTAATGAAGATAATAAGGTTTGGATTTTCTTGATCAATCTTAGGCTTACTTTACGAGTTTACTGGTCGAAATCATGATTTCTTGCATCGTACTTATTGAATCTTCCCGATAAAAATGAACAAAAGGTTGTGAAGTGTGATCATGCTGACATGGCAAAAAAAAACGTTTTGTATAAACTTCATTTGGTTCTTGATTGATCACAGTTCATCTTTGAAGCTGCTGCAAAGCATTGTGTTGAAATTGCCACACATCAACACGGTTGTTGTGTGTTGCAAAGATGCATAAATCACTCAATAGGTGAGCATCGCGAAAACTTAGTCTCAGAAATTTCAGCAAATGGACTTCTTCTAGCACAAGATGCATTTGGGTAAGTCTAAATACAAGAAATAGCAACCTAATTGTATTTATTTGTACACTTTAGTATCACACCTTCATTTCTTTCTATTATATCATTGTACTTGAAAAAAAAAATCAATAATAACATTGCTATTTTTTTTTTGCAGAAACTATGTTGTACAGTATATTCTGGAATTGCAGATTCCTTCAGCTGTGTCAAAGCTTATCTCACAGTTTGAGGGTAACTATGTGCATCTTGCAACACAAAAATTCAGCAGCCATGTGGTGGAGAAATGTTTAGCAGTGTTAGATGGTCAAATCAGGTCAACCATCATCCGTGAGTTGATCTCAGCCACTCATTTTGAACAAGTGCTTCAAGATCCACATGCCAACTATGTTGTTCAAACCGCTCTTCGTGTTTCTGAGGTCCGTAATCTTTCATAAAAGTTACACTTTACTTTAACTTCAAAAGGTTAAATGCAAGAAATAGAAATTTTACTTTTATTTTTTTCTATAGCGTTGTATTTTGAAAAATCTACCTATTTATAGTAAGGTTGTGAAAGTAAGATTCAATAATAAAGAAATAAATGAAAGTAGGTTGCTATTTATTGGATGCAGGGTCAGCTTCATAATGCATTGGTGAATGCGATTGAATCCCACAAAGCGATCTCAAGGAACAGCCCGTATTCGAAGAGGATTTTCTCCCACAAGCTTTTGAGGAGGTGAAAGAATGAATGTATTATCATAATGTTGTTGTTTTGTGTGTGGTTTAGGGGCCAAATTGTTTTAGTGATGCTTGTGTGCTCGATTTTTTGGTTGAATTTGTGGCGTATTCGAGTCATAGATAGAGAATGAAAGCAAATTTTGGGTTCAAGTTGCTTAAAACTAAAGTTCATGACTATGTTGATGTGGTTTCTCTCCTGTTGTCTATGTAACTTTTGGATGTTTACTCTTTACTTTTAGAGTCCCTTTTCCTTGGTATAGGCACATTAAAGGGCCAGGTCTAATGGGCTTTTTTGGGTCGGGCCGAATCTTTTTTGGGAGGACCAGTCTCATAATCAGGCTTTCTAATGCATTCATGATACATCTTGAAACAGTAAAAATAAATATTCATCTATTCTGAAGAATACTAAAAGCAAAATCATAAATATGATAAGTACGTCTCTATCTATTTGTTCACAATTTATAAAATCTTTAAAACATAAGCTAAAAAGTTCAAAATCATACCTTGAATCTAATCATCTAGTACAACATGACAAATCATTCATCGATAGTATTTCCCTCTTCCAAACTCAATTAGCCCAAAAATTTTGAGTTGCAAACAACTCGTTTTTTAAGAACAGTAGGTCATCTCAAAATTGAAGGATGTGTAATTCGAACTTGGATCCACTCCATTTGGAGTGATTAAATCCCAAATGAACACCACTAGAGAAAGAGAAAAAGATAAAAGGTGTCATCAAATAGGATAGATCTTACTTCAAATTTCAAAAAAAAAATGATAAATTGCACCGTCTTAGCAATATTTTGGATGTACCAATGTTTAAACTATGGACCTCCTTTGTGGGATTCCATTCCTCAACCGCTAGACTCACATGGCGGGGGATGAACAAACCTATTTTACAAGCTCACAAATGAACATGTTCAAAAACCGAGAAATAAACCTACAAAAAATAAAATAAAAATATGCTATTTCAAAATCTCAAATCATTTATTATTTGAGAAGCATTATTAAAGAATCTCAATTCTAAAAAGTTTCAGGATATAATCAACTAGATAATTCAAAAATTATTTATTATTTGAGAACCATTATTAACTATTATAGGTTGTCATCAAAATTGCATGATTTACAGTCGTGTCATTCCTCCATATGTAGAGAGCCCGAAAGTGGTGTAAAGGAAGAGCATCGGTTGGCTTGACGATCTTTTTCATGGCTTCACCTTCATGGATTGTTTGCATCGTTTCACATGGTCTTTAGATCAGATTTGGTTTGTTCGGTGGCTACGACGATGACTATTCTTGACTATGGCAGTTTGGTCACGACAGATAATGCAACTAGATAGAACAATTTTGTTCCTATCAAGTTGAACATATTGACGTGGAGATTGGCTCTATATCGCATTCCAACACATACCAACCTTAGTAAAAAATTTGGATTTGCATTCTTTGTTGTGCCTTAATTGCAAAGGTGATATTGAGACAGCTAATCACCTCTTTACTTATTTCCCGAAGGTTATGGATATTTAGAATTTAGTTGCTCGATGGTGGGAGCTTGATTGGCCTTGTTCAAGCTGAATTTTGGATTGGATCACATGGACAGATTTTGTTAAGCTTAATAGGGTGCAACCAAAATGTTAGATGCGGTAATTATCACTACCTTTTTGGTTTGTTTGGAAATATTTTGAATTGTATGATGTATCGTGACTATTTTGAGTTGTAGTGGTCGCGACGTGACCATGATCTGGTCGTGGCGCGTTGACCGTTTGACCAGATTGACTTTTGGTCAAACTTTGATTGATATGGAGTTGGAATGAGATTTGACCTTTGATTGGTAATGGTTACTAAGATGAATCTAATGGGAATTTAGTTGGTTCGCTCGAGTTGATTCACTAGTGGAGACTTGTGTATAAGACTGGGATTCTAGCTTTCAGATGAGTTTTTTTCAGCCTACTATGTGTGATATTATATATCCTTTGAGTGGTAGGTTGTCTATGTACTGCTATAGAACAAATGTGTGATTAGGGTCTGTGTGATCGGTAGACTAGAGTAGTATTTTGTTATGACAGTTAGAAGGTCGTATGATGATATCATATGCATTTGTATAGAATGATGGTTGAGATCCTACATGCCCGATAGGGTGATGGCTGAGAGCCTACATGCCTTATGGGATGATGGCAGAACGGTGATAGGCTGTGAACCTATAGGCCCAATAGGAGGATGGGAAGATTACCTAGAAAGGATAATACATGAGAATTATGTCAAGTATGAACGAAGAAAATAAAAAGTGACAAAAAGTCCAAAAGTTTGTAACCTGACATGAGCCATCTAAATATGGACTGTGAATCAATATTAGATACCTTCGACTAACGTGAAGCACATGGGCTGATCTAATTGAGGACAAAACATGTTCGTAGTAATGAAAAAGTCACGGGTGTTGGGGTATGAAGTCTTGTCCAACATGGAGCAGTTGGAGTTGTAATGGAGCATCAGAAATCAACATGGAGCACTTGGAGTTCATGGAGCATGTGACAAAGGAATATATCATCTAAGAAGGGAATGGATCATCATACAAAGGAACGGATCACATGACAAAAGGAATTGATCTTCTAAAAGGGGTATGAAGCACCTAGGAAGGGAATGAAGCATCATGTGATGCTCCATGATGAAGATGCGCCATCTAGAAGGGGATGCACCATCCTTGGAGGTAGATACACCACTCCATAATCAATTTGTGCCACAAGTGTTCCTTTGATGAACCATGGTATCCCTTCATAAGCCACACATAGATGCTCATGGAAGATGCCCATCGATGATGCTCATGGAAGATGCCCACCGATGATGCTCATGGAAGATGCTCATGGATAATTCTCGTGGAAGATGCTCATGCAATGATGCTTATGGAAGATTATCATGCGATGATGCTCATGGAAGATGCCCATGCGATGATGCTCATGGAAGATGCGTATGCGATAATGCTCATGGAAGATGCTCATCGACGATGCTCATGGAAGATTCTCATCGATGATGCTCATGGATGATATATTGGATTAGGTGTCTAAGCCAGTAACTAAATTGGTATATTCTTGTAATTAAAAGCAAAATCCTTTTTGGGTTGCCCTCATAACTAGAACTTGATTAGAATGACAATTATAGAGAGAAGATGGTTATTAGATTATTATATGGTTAATAATCTAATTGGAAAATATGAGGAAATGATTTGTTAATATATTATATGATTAATATATTAATTGGAAATAGATAGTTGATTTATTAATTTATTATGTGATTAATAAATTAATATGAGATCAGTGTTAAACAATTGATTTGTTAATTTATAAGGTTAATAAATTAATAAGAAATCAATTTTGAATTAATTAATTATTAATCATAATTAATCTGGAATTAATTTGGATTAATTGCAGTTAATTAAAGGTGCAATGGGTGAAATGTAATTGTTCAATTGTTGAAAAAAAAGCAATTCTAGAACCATACAAGGGGTGGACGGTTTTGGGATCTTCCTTTAGGTTTCCATAATTCTCTTGGATGTATATGAGGAAAGGATTTAGATTCAGATTAAATTCATTCAAATTGTGCTTGTTTCCTAAGTTGCCTAAACTATAAATATGACACCTTATGACCTTAATTTCGTTCATATACTTCCCATAAGCCTTAGGAACAAAATTTTCCTCTCTTCCCCTCTCTTCAACTGTCTTCTAGTTCAAGGGTTTGGGTGTGAGCCATTAGAGGCATCATACTTTTGGTGCTAGCTTTCCAAGCTCTTGTAAGGAAGGTTTGAAGTTATTTGTTTACTACAACAAATCAAAGGTATGTAACCCTAATTCTTGTGTTTTTTTATTATCCTATGTAACATTCGATTTCAGGTATGTTCTTGTTTGGTCCTTTAAGTTTGAAAATTTTGCAAAAATGGTCCCTCGTACGATAGGCGTACGTTTGGTACGCTTAGCGTACATGCGGGTATGGAATCGGGGAACTTAACCACGTACGTTGGGCGTACGTGGTGTATGCGGGGCATACGACAGCCAAGACAAAACCCTAATTTTTAGGGTATAAGCCCTATTTAAACATCATTATGGCCTTTGAACACTCACCCTCAATAGCCTCCACTGTTCATTACGTCCCATCGAAACCCTAGTTCATCCTTTGAGTGTTCTTGAGCTTTGAAGTGACATTTGTGGCATATTTGGTGTGTATTCAAGAAGAAGGAACTTAGAGACCAAGCATTTGTTGAGGTTCAGCTTCTAGATATAGAGTCTTCATCAACTTTAGGAGCTTTTGAAGGTATAAAGTTTTTACCTTGATGATCCATTTGATACTTAGAGTTTAGGGCTTGTTTATGAACTTTATTTGGTCCCATGGGTTCTCTTTGTGAGTTTGGGCAACTCCAGGAGTTAGAGGTGTTAGATCCCAGTCCCTTTGTTGTTATAGATGCATAAAAATGTCATCTTAATGGTTGATATGAGTCCATGCATGAATCTGAGTCCCTAATATGAGCTTTGATGGATAAAAATGGATGTTGGGATCCATTAAGACATGTTAAGGGTTAAAGTTGCCAACTTTATGAATTAGAAAACTAAAATGGACGAGATCTGACAGTTGGACTTAATAGTTGAATTGATTAAGAACTTTTCTGCTTAAGGTGGCAAGCAGCACAGTAAGTCGGGCGTACCAAGGGGTACGTTGCTCGTACAGGTGGGTGGTCGAGTATACCAAGCGTAAAACGCGTACGCCTCGCAGAGGCTTTCCCTTGGGCTTTTAGTCTTCGGTTGGGCTTTGGACTTTTGGGCCTTTATTAGGTTTTGGGCCTTGGACTATTTGATGCATGAGTGTGCCTTAGGAGTTTGTTAGTGGGCCTTAAGTTGCTTGAGTTGGGACTTTTTGGGCCTTGGGGTCCATTATTGTGTTATTGGGCCAAGTTTGGTTAGGCCCATTATGGGAAGGGTAAATGGTCTTTTATCTTAGGGGTCTGGGCTTGGGGCATAGGTCCACAGTTATGGTTTATAACCTATTCTGATTAGGGTGATTTGTTTGTGATCAGTGTGGGATCTTCCAGATCGGTAACTAAGCGTTATTTATTTATCAGCGGACTGAGGTGGGTTTTCTCACTGTATTAATGGG